TTCCTAAATCTGTTAGCACTGCATTGCATACTACAGAAGCTACATGCGGCGATATGTCAAACCGATAAAGAGCAGCCGCTAATCGAGGATATTTCAAGAGCTTGTTACATTTTATTCGCGATCGAGTTACTTTGTTGCATCTGCTGCAGTACGTGACATCAGATTCAGAGCTTGGAGATTCGGTTTTTGAACTCTCTCGATTATGCTCTGAGTCAGTAGCGGTAGCAATTATTTTCTTTTTCCACTTTATCTTCTTCTCATCATAGATTTGCTGCATTGGAATCATTTCTCCCGCATCCTTCGATTCAATAATCATCTTCCTGATTGTACATTGGTCGATGTAAAATTCCCACTTGGACGGCTGCAAATTTATACTACACCGGCAGCCAACATCTCGGAACAGTAATGGATCAATTTCCTTCTTGAAAGATTTCTTCAAACATTTACATCGGCATATATCGAATAATCTGTCATAGGATTGCTTCTTGGATGCTATTAGTAGCGTATTGAGTCTTTGACTTGCGTTAATCTTACTAAACGAGCCTAATGCAGCAACTGTTGTTAAAATCTTTCTCTTCACATTCTTCAAAGATAGACATGGAATGGAAGCACGATTCCATAAGGAAACTACCTTGTAAGCCAATCTATCCAATATTTCCATTTTGTCCTTCTTTACCAAAAGAAGGCGGTTATTTGTCAGTTTAATTTGATTCCTTATATATAAATACGACAGTAGAACTTCTTTCTTAGTAGGAAGTGTCTCTGTTGGTAAGTCAGCTACATCTCCGAGAATAAAATGTTGAGTTGCGTCGTTGATTTCAACATTGGAAGAAGCCATAGCTGCTGATAGTACTTACATTGGCACATGTAAAATGGATTAGCATGAAATAAGTATTAGAATGTTGAGTAGCCACCGGTACTGGTATTTCCTAGGCAAAATACGGTATACAGTGGAACGATATCGTAACTCTTTCAAACTAAGATGAAATCAGGATCCAGGTCGTTGGATCTTAAAGTGTTTCTGATTATTTGGCTCAACTTTAGGAGTGTAAATTGCGATATGTTTCTTTCATAAAAGGAGACTGTGCTGTGAAATATCCGTGCATTCGTTTTAGCGAATTTAATGTTAATTAGAACTATAAGTATTCATAGTTAATTAATTAGTTATTATTTAAGACTAGTAACTGTAGCTGTTCTCATCGCGTTATATAATCCTTTAGCTTCTCTCTTCTTCAGCATTCCTGGTACCTACTTTAGGCTGTAGAGCAATA